GTGGTCGCCTTGTGAGGGTGACAATGAAACAGAGCAAAAGTTTCCTCCTGCTCACGTTGTTGTTGTGCAGCTTCACACAATCACTGTGCATAAAGTCTTTGGTCAGAGAAAAACAGACTTTACAGCTGCGAGATGTGCATGTTCAAGACATACAGACGCCAGAAACACATCAAGTCTCAAAGTGGGGTTGCCACGGAGACAAACGTCGTACAAACCCAGGTTCAGTCTAAATGAAACCGGTTCCATGGGTCTGACTGTTTATAAGAAAAGCAAATTCATCACGTGGTTTTATCAGCCACACCTTTCTCCAACCTGCTGACTGTTCCTTATTTTATTACAACAAATCTGTTCTTAAACGCCTCTTCTTTATGTTAGCAGCTCAGCTAAATCCGCTATCTGCTAATAAACTACCGACAGACTGCTTCTGGTCTGACGCTGATCTGTGCACATGCAGAGCGAGCAGCGTTCTCATTAGGCAGCGGTGCATAAATTAGCCACCGAGCTCTTTCTCCAACTTCTTACAATTATTGTTTTGCAATCTTGGGTTTAATGGCTGTTTAAAGGGTGCTCCCAGAATCCTCTTTGCTTACATTTCTCCACAACTTATAAAAACCAAAACCTCCGAACGCATCACTGCAAAACACTTTGAGCTTCTGGCTGCTCCACGGCGCCACAGACCAGTCCTATGGTCCAGACCAGTCCTATGATCCAGACCAGTCCTATGGTCCAGACCAGTCCTATGATCCAGACCAGTTCTATGGTCCAGACCAGTCCTATGATCCAGACCAGTTCTATGGTCCAGACCAGTCCTATGGTCCAGACCAGTCCTATGGATGTGTTACGGGGGGCGGGTTGGTGGCTTTCCTCTGCAGGGACTTGGGCCAGACGTCATGCGTCGCCCCACCAGCGTCTCTGTTTCCACTCATTGTAGGATCTGATAACTTCAATGTGATAATAACTCAGAGAGCAACAAGACAAAGAAAACCAGAAGTTACTGGACGTAACTCCGGTTGTACGAGCACGTAGAAAACAGAGCAACAGAGACCTGTTGTGTTTGTAGTGAATTTGGCATCACTGATGGTGACGTCAGAGGAGAGGACTGCTGGACGAGGACAT